AAGTCACTCAATTGACAGTTAGCAATAACTCGGATTTGAATAAAACTCACTCATTTCTGCTGCAATAGTTTCACTTATACCAATAGAGTGAAAATTTCAAAATTGTGTGAAATGTTTTTACAGTGTAGTAAATATTTATGATAATTTGTGTTTTATGTATTTAATAGTGTCGAAGAAAGAAAAATACTCGTTATTGATCTTTCTCTTGTCTTTGAAAAGTAAAGTACAAAGAATACAGCGACACAAATGCAAGCGTAATCAAGTGTACGATGTTCACGTCGAAAACATATGCACAGTGACCTAGAATGCAAATCAAGATTGTTGTAAAAAAATAAATTCCATAAAATTATACAAATGTAATTGACTGAAAACGAATAAACAATTCAGTTCTTATTTGTGCAAATTGTAATGAACTGGTTCATTTGAGCGTGATATATTTAGGGTAAGATTTTACACTCATCTAAATAAAATTAACTATTAAAAGTAACGTCCTTGGGTCAGGATTAAATGTTAATTTAACAGAAAATAAATTGAAAATGATTTCCAGACTACCTTAATAATAGAATGTACCATAAAGCTATAGGTCAATAATTGATAAATTTTAATGGCTAACAAAAGTCAAACTGCTTTATTTAAAAAACAAATGTTTATTACTCTCATGAGTAACGATAAATATAAACTACTCCGTAAAATGTTCTCAGTTATTTTGATTTTGTAGGAAATCAAGAGACCAACTTAGTGTTGTGTAGTATTGCCGTTGTTACACAGAACTCTTACATTTTAATTTTATATACGAAATAGAAAGAAAAAGTCAAATAAATAATCACGTCATTCACAAAAATACTTATAGCTTCTTCCTCAACCTAACATCCGTATCTTACAACAGTTTCCCGCAATACAATCTATGTTCTGTTATTTATATCCAGCCTATAAACTCAATGCAAAATTATTCACATGACTTTTGAAACAAGCGTTGTGGTTAACAGTGTTTTGAAAACTGTTAAAAAAATGTGTTTCTTAGTAACTGGATTTTTGAAATATCTCATTTTTAAATAATTCGGTAAGCGTTTATTTGCTAAATTTATTTATTGAGTAATGTAACTTAGTTTCTCTTTAAATAACGTAATTGTGATGTTTACAGTAATAGGTACTTAATATTACTGTATAATTAAATTTTAATTCCATCTTAAAATCAATTCCTACGTTTTCAGTTAGAATCTCCCTATGCATTATAGTTAGATTTAAACTATAGCGTGGAATTAAAATATTGAGATCTTTTTCAAAATAATTTTCTTTACATATACTTAACTTGACAAACTCGCAGTTCGTTGGTCCGCATGCTGGATTATCTTTTACATGCACTGCGGTTTTCAAAATATACAGGACCTTAATTACGTTCCAGAGATAAATTAATTTTGCCACAACGTTGACTCACCCTGTAATATTACTTATACACATTCATATTTGTAATTTTTAAAAACGACTTCCTCTGGACGCATCTACATTGGGAATTATACATACTTTATATACATAGTCTTCAGGTCTAATAAATGCAGAAAATGGGCTGGCGGATTACAAAGCGTTCGAATGTTTAAGCGAAACAGCTAAGTATTTTTTAGCCGTACTGTCATTTTAAAATGACAAACAATAAGTCACACAATAAGGTATGCGTACTGAACACAATACTAAAAACTTATATACAGTTTATTAAACATAGTGAAAATGTAAACAATATTAAAAATACTAAATACCCTAACATTTGGAAGCAATTATTCTTATTTATTTATTAACAAATAAATAATTAATATTTAAAATGTAAAAAAAATATCTTTCTCTCTCATGTGTCTAAGTAAAAAGTTATATTTTTGTTGCTCACTATTAAAAACATAGTAAAAGCTAGGTTAGTGACCGAATATGGTAGATCAAGATTCACTTTCGATAAACCTTTGTAGGTCAGCGGTCAGGAGCGGTCCGAAAAGGGGTTTAAATAATGATTAGAAAATATTTTTTCAGCGTAAATAAGCAATTTTAATTTTTTTAATAGCGTATTCGTATTCTACTTGTCCCTTAATATTAATGACATTATGACCGAATCACGCTGTATATATTATAAAATTCACTCTGTATTATCAAATTTACAAATTATTGCCATTTTGTGGAGAAAAAAGTTTATTAATTGTATCCACATTTTCTTTTCTTTTAAATCTGTTGGGGAAACTTGAACGTGTGGTGACTATAATTAGTATGGGTGTGACATTAGAGAGAAAAAAGGGAGACTTATAGCACCGTATGCTACCAAAGAAATAAAAGTATGACGTTTTTTGCAAGCGGTCGCCTTTAAATATGACAAACGAACGAAATAACATCACTGTTTATTTCGCTTGTAATTAAGTGTTATTTGCCTTTTTTATATAAACGTGAAATGTATGAGTAGAGCTTGGGAGACCCTTTCTTAACAGAGCCGTACTCAGTTCACTATTTCAATTATCATTTCAGTCTTTTACCAGATTGTTCCGACTGTTTCTTGGTTTTAATTTACAAGCCTGCATAAACCACTGTGAATTTAAATATTTGTATACACCAGGTTTTCCAATTCGTTAATATACAAGCTATTAACATAATAAGTAAAAATAAATGAATTTCAATTTTTTTTTTAATAAACTCTAATATGGCGCATATTTGATAAATACAAATAACTTTCTCTAAATTGCATATCTACTATGTTACGAGGCCAAATTGCAAGCAACATTTTGTGTGAATACATTAATTATTTACATTTACTGAGCCCGGTTCTGTTAACAGCCACATTTCCCCGACGTGTGCCTACTTATAAATATTCGAGACAATTTCAGTATAATTTAATTGAAAACATGACATTTTCCACAATAGCAATTTTTTTATTTCCTGTGTTCTTCAATTTAAACGTTTCATTTGAAAATTAAATAATAATAATTTGTCGAAAACATACTTAGAATAATAATCAGTATCTGGAAAAACATGTCATGTTATTCAAAGAAATAACAAACATTTTGAGAATAGCAAGGAATTCAGTAATAAGAAAATTAAATGAGATTTCATTCTTTAAATTTAAATAATTATTATTTTCAATGATGATAAATGAATAAATACTGTTTGGGTTTGCGCAACCATGAGTTTTCCTCAGTACGAGACACTTAAGCAAAACTAAGTTTATAATATCGCCCTTAATGGATCCCTTTTGGCGCAAAGGGCGAATTATTTCAAATTTCTATTTACTTACAATGTGGCAGAAATATCTAATTAAATAAAAAAAAAATAGTTTTAATGAACTGATATACGTACCTACTTCCAACAAATATAAATAATTAAAAACTCAATTCCTTGGAAGTCCCAATTAAAAGTAAGAAATTACAAGAAGCAAAGTCGCAGCGAAAAATCATTTCCGCATTATTATAAAACTTTCAGAATAAAAAAATCTATTAAGTATCAAACTTGCGCAGAAATGATTAACTACCGCATTCATCGATAGAGGTTCATAAAAAGTTAATTAAAAGAAAAGAGTTTTTAGAATTACTTTCCGAATAGATCGAGAGAAGAAGGAACGAGGAACTCGTTCTTTACAGTCTTCACTGGAAAACTAATTACGTTGTGAGTGCGGCCAAGTTATACAGCAATTTATATACTTCTCCACGGCACTTGTAAAATTCAATACAATTGAAATAAGTAAAATGTGAACGAAACGTTTTCGATTACATGTGATAAGTTGAGGCTGTGAATCGAGCCGCGTGACAAGCTTTTCACTTTGGAAAAGTGTTATGTGACCGACAACAAAAAGTATGTGTTAGATATCAACCAGAAACTTTACAATACTGTCGAGAGTAGGTAGAAACTATCTCTAAACAGTCTTGCTTTATTATTTATTGATCGTTGGGAAATATTTCTTTACAAAGAGTAAAAACTACTAGGTATGTATAAAAATATTCAAAACTCACTACAAAACTTTTCTGAAATGTTAAAATTAGATGAAACTTTATCCCATTTTTCATTTTAAACATTCATTTTTAATTTTTATTCTACATAGAGGGTGATTTTGAATAGAGTAGCACAAACGCTACCAGTGCATCTAGATGAAAAAATAAGGCGAATAAACTAAATATACCTTAGACAAAAGTTGCACTCCTGAGGAATTACAGGGTCTTGAATGTTGTAGAGCCAACCAATATTTCCTTCAATTTATCTTGAACGATGTGGCATAAATCATTTATATTTGGTACAGACATTTGTCCAGTGCGGACACATACTTTCTATTAATATTGTTTAAATATCCACCAGAGGCGCTGTTGTCGGCTACATGCAACATATTAGTCCGAAGAATTTTTCACCCTATATGAAAATACATACCTATCTTATTTACGTTTTCGGACGTAACAACTAAAAACAAATATTTTTCCTCTCTTGCATTTTTTTCGATAAACGTGATAGTTTTTTAGATAATTTACGAAAAACAAACTTCGGAAATTTTACAGCGCCAATGGTTGCAGTAACAAACACATCAATACACCATTTTGTAATAGCAAAAAAAACGCCCTTCTCGTAAAATAATTTTAATAAATTTATTTAGGAGTATTCTTTATGTAACTAATAAAATTATTTTAAGTGTCTAATTTAAGTAATAATATCTAATGTAATACTACAACATAACGTTATTTTAATGTAAAAATTTTATAAAGAATATTTTGAAAGTAGTTCCCACTTTCCTTTGAACACAATCTAACACGATTTGTTTGAGGATTTCCTGCTTAAATTGATAAGCATGGGAATACTTCGCCAACAACATAGTTGCTCCTGGTAAATCGGAAACAAATTTGCTGAGTAAACAATTTGCTATTTTTGTGTTGATGTGTCAGTGTCATCAACGGTTTCAAATAATAGTTGTTTAATTATGGCAAATTTTACCAACAATGAGTATGTTGATACGCTCCAAGTATTTTTTGAATGTCACAAAAATTGTGCTGCCTCAGCAAGATTGTACCATGAGAGATATACAAATCGCCGGGTTCCCCACAGGCAAACTTTTTCAGCTGTGGAAAGAAGGTTGCGAGAAACTGGGGAAATTCAACCTAAGCATGAGGATAATGGACAAAGACGATATATCAGAAATGTAAACCTTGAAGAAGCTATACTTATCAATTTAAGCAGGAAATCCTCAAACAAATCGTGTTAGATTGTGTTCAAAGGAAAGTGGGAACTACTTTCAAAATATTCTTTATAAAATTTTTATTTTAAAATAACGTTATGTTGTAGTATTACATTCGAGATTACAGTAGGTAGTATTAAATTAGATATTATTACTTAAATTAGACACTTAAAATAATTTTATTTGTCACATAAATAATACTCCTAAATAAATTTATTAAAATTACTTTACGAGAAAGGCTTTTTTTTGCTATTACAGAATGGTGTGTTGATGTGTTTGTTATTAATGCAACCATTGGCGCTGTAAAATTTCCGATGTTTGTTTTTCGTAAATTATTTAAACAAACTATCGTGTTTATCGAAAAAATGAAAGAGAGAAAAAATGTTTGTTTTTAGTTGTTACGTCCGGAAATGTAAATAAGATATGTATTTTCATACAGGGTGAAAAATTCTTTGGACTAATATATTGCATGTAGCCGACAGCAGCGCCTCTGGTGGATATATTTAAACAATATTAATAGAAAATGTGTCCGCACTGGACAAATGTATGTATCAAATAGAAATGATTTACGCCACATCGTTCAAGATTAATTGAAGGAAATATTGGTTGGCTCTACAACATTCAAGACCCTGTAATGCCTCAGGAGTGCAACTTTTTTCTAAGGTATATTTAGTTCATTCGCCTTATTTTTTCATCTAGATGCACTGGTAGCGTTTGTGCTATTCTATTCAAAATCACCCTGTATAATTATCTATAGTTGCTAATTATTTACATAGATATTGCCCGGCTAGTATTGAATTAAACTTTCATATTAGCCAAGATCTGTAGCTTGTAGAGAAGTTGTTTTCCGCTATAGTTAAATTAATTTTGAATAACGTTAGATATCATTTGCATACACTGAAAAAAAATACTCAATTTCACTCAATTTTACTCAATAATTTATCAATTTCTGTTCACACCCAATGGGTGAAATATTCCCTCTATTAGTACGAGTACAACTAAAATTTTACTTTACTAAACTTTATATAAAACTATATGAGACGTTCTACTTAAAAAAAATTAAGTACTATTTAACTTACATTCTCCACTCCATTTTCATTTTGTATTGATCTGAAATCATGAGAAAATTTAACTCTAATTTATCTAACTATAATTTTGGTTTTCGTCATATTTTCTAAGTACACAAGCAAAAGAGATAAAAGAGATAAAAGGGATAATATTGGGTAAAATGAATAATGCTATAATAGCTTCCATATTTTTCATTTCCGAATGAAGCAATAATTAATTATTGAACCTAATACTAAAAAAACGTTAACAATATATTAAAATACTAAATAACATAACATTCGAATTATTATCCGTATACATTTGTTTTTATTAACAAAAGGGGTTTAAATAATGGTTTGAAAATATTATTTTCAGTGTAAATATACATTTTAATTTTTTTTAATCGCGTATTCGTATTCTACTCATTTTTTTCCTATCTTCTCTTAAAATTAATGACATTGTGACTGAAATCACCATGTGTACTTATACTATTTTCAGATTTTTTTTTGTCATTTCAAAGTTTTTTAACTTTGCCTTTCATTCAGTCTTAGAATCTAGAAAGTTTTCTCTTTTCAGTATGGCTGTGAATTTCCTTATTCAGTGACAGCCTTGATAAAGTTGTGAAACAACTTCTAACAAATATGTTCATCTGCTTGGCAAGACAGAAGTAGGTGATTATTCAGAATTGCCGCCACTGTTTGCAACATATTACTTACACATAAATAAAAATATATATGCACATTAGAAGAAAACATTACACGTAGCTATAATTAAAAAAAGTGTACCTATGCTATTTTAGAATATCCTTTTTTCATCCCTTCCATTTTCCTTTCTGATTGTCGGATTTGGGTTAGTTTCCTATTGTAGCAGTGTCTACTGACCTTATTAAATTATAACAACAATCTATATTATTATTATGCCAAGTTAAAATAAAAGTATACATACACATAAAAAATAACACACTAAATACACAGGGTGTTAAAGATAAGTTTTGCCAAACTTTAATGACATATTCTACGGATGTAAATAATCAAGTTTTGCCCTATACAATTTTTTGATAGGACGCTTCCCTACAGGGTGTTAAGAGTTTCAAATATTTATATTATTTTTCCTGTAACTTCACTGGTATACAAGATTTAGTGATAAAATTTGGGGATGACATTTTTTTAGTAGGGACTATTTTTTCATGGATAACTTATTCCAAAATAAATAGTGGCGTAGTTATTGGAGGAGTAGGAGACCTTTTTTGAAAAAAAAAAAATCGTACGCCACTGGTTTTTTAAATAATTTTAAATGTTTTTAAAATGTACACTCAATTTGTGACAATAAAGTATTCTTGTAAAGTATTCGTAAAATTTACTGGTCGTTAGATAATTGGGACATCAAATAAGAAGATATACCTATACTTAATTACCTACGTTGCTATTTACCATTTTCTATTGTTTCCTAAATGTGTAACAATAAATTCAGTACCTAATATTTTTGAGAAATTTCAAAACACTATACAAGAAATGTTCAAAATGCTGTCCTTGGGATCCAATGCATGCTGCGCAGCGTCTCCGCGTTGATCGTCTTACACTCCTCATAATTCCAGCCGTATTGTGTATGGTTGCGAAACCCTCTACAATGCGCTGTCGAAGTACTTCAACATTGTGAACTGGAGTACGATATACCATAATTTTGAGGTAGCCCCAAAAAAGTAATCCAAGGGATTTAGGTCGGGGAATGAGCCGGCCAAGCAATGGGTCCTCCTCTACAAATCCTGTGATTAGGATACTGATTATTCAGCAACTGTCTAACGGTAAGGCTGTAATGAGGTGGTGCCCCATCATGCATATATCATAATAATTGACGTAACCTCAATAGCACTTCTTCTAATGAAGTTCTACCATCGAGGGTTTTGCGTAAAAAGTAGGGACCAATCAAATAATCGCCCACAATGCCTGCCCAAACATTCAGATAAAACTGTTCTTGGAATCAACGTTGTGAAATAATATGAGGATTTTCATCCGCCCACTGGTGGTTATTATGACAATTCGAAATGGTTTCCCTTGCAAATTTCGCTTCATCGGTAAATAATATTAATCAGGCTGTTCGCATTGTTATAAAAACCACTGACAAAACTCAATCATCGGTTGATAGTCATTTTCATTTAATGCATGAACTTGCTGGACATGATACGGGTGTAATTGCTGCTCACGTAAGACGTTCCAGATTGTTATATGCGATACACCCAAATTGTTGATATATGTCTGGTAGTGTAGATGGGCATTCATCTATAGATTCCAAAATGTCTTCCAAATGAACTGTACGAACAGGTCTTTCTCTTGCTCGACGTTTTGCTAGCGACAAACATGCAGTTTCACGACCTCGACGGCGACGGAGAACGTTTGAAAAAGTATTCCTTGTTGGACAACGTCGATTTGGAAAAGTCTGTCTATAAAGTCGTTCAGCTTGTCTAACATTGCCATTCGCTCTACCGTATGTAAAATGTATATCTGCTAATTCAATATTTGTATAATTGAATACCATTTTTTTTTCTATCAAAATCTGTTTTTAGTTGTATGAAAAATAACAAACTTATTGCAACTCACAAAACAGTGGCGTTTTATAGTGTTTTGAAATCTCTCTGAAAAAATATTACGTATTGAATTTATTGTTACACATTTAGAAATCAATAGAGAATGGTAAATAGCAACGTAGGTACTCAAGTATCTTCTTATTTGATTATCCAATTATCTAAAGACCAGTAAATTTTACGAATACTTTACAAGAATACTTTATTGCCACAAATTAATTGTACATTTTAAAAACATTTAAAATTATTTAAAAAACCAGTGGCGTACGATTTTTTTTTAAAAAAGGTTCCCTACTCTCACAATAACGCCAGTGGAGTCTATTTTGGAATAAGTTATCCATGAAAAAATAGTCCCTAATGTAAAAATGTCATCCCCCAAATTTTATCTCTAAATATTTTTTGCCAGTGAAGTTACAGGAAAAAGCATATAAATATTTGAAACTTTTAACACTGTATCTCCGTAGGGAAGCGTCCTATCAAAAATTTTTGTAGGGCAAAAGTACATTATTTTCATCGGTAGAATACGCCATTAAAATTTGGCAAAACTTATCATTAGCACCCTGCACATAGGTTAAGGTGTACGTTTATCAAACACTATAATAATGATGGTTAGTAATATTAAAATTATAATTTTTACCATCTAAAATTTAAATGTGAAGCACCCATTTCTCAACACAATATTATATTACTTTTCAGGTAAGTTAATTTAAGTTCATTCTAAAAATGTTCCTTATCATGTTAAGTCATACCAAACACCAAATTGAAGTTATAATTATCATGATAGCAAATATCTAGTTTCACTAAATAATTTCACAGAGAAGTTAGCAATTAATATTTGTCTAAAATAAGCAAAAATTAATATATCAAAATAGTATCAATGAAACAATTCATACCTGAAGACTTTTTAACTTACCTTTAATTTGCACAGAACATATCTTTATGAGAAATAAAGTACGCAGTCTAGTCCTTCCGATATTAAGTAGGTACACTTCTTCACAATTTAGAAATTATTATGAGTTTGAAATAAGAGCACTAAACGGAAGGCAGTAGAGCACTCGAGAAGGCCCATAGCGCAGTGCGGGGCGAATATAATAAGGAACATATTATTTGGGAAACATAATAAAAGAGCGGGACCTCATATTCTTATAAATTACGTTCTTATTTCCTTAAAAGCCAATCTTATCTTGTTAACTGCGACTCTTCGGAAAATTTAGTGGTGGAAGACGAAATCCTATTATTATTTTTCAAAGTGGAAGCATACAGAGCCTTATCTTTTTTTTTTAATAATACTTTACTATTTCGTGGCCCAAATATAAGAAGAAATATAAAAAAATATATATATG